GAAACGGCAGCGCGACGATAACGAGACGCGTAAAACCGATGTTCCACGGCTCTCCAAATATTCTATCTACCGAACTACGAATTGTCCGAATTTTGCATTACGATTTGCCACCGAAGGGACAAAAACACCCCCGTTATCTCTCTCGTTCGGTGGAACATCGAGCAACGAAAGCACGAGTGGAGAAGGAAGACCGGGGAAAAATTATTAAAATGGGATCAACGTAGGCCCGATCGACGATGACTATCGAGTGTTAGCCGTGGTGCTGGAAATTAGCGTAAAATTAGCCGCGTTCACGCACGCCCGCGAAGGCAGTAAAGGCATCCTCCTCCCTGCGCGGTTTTAGCGCTACCGCTCTCCTAATACCGGCCGTAAAACCACGATCCCTTTTAAATCCTTCCCCATTGGATGGCGCGCACGATACACAGGGCGAGAGCAGCCACTCGAACTATAAAGTATAAACCCGCGACGCACCGTTTTACGACGTACAAGCTGCCTCCGTGTCTCCCCGGATCCGGATTCTATTACGTTTATATCGTGCCCTCCTCGCGATCAAAGAGACACGCGTTGGGGATTTCCTTGCTCGAACGAGTACGAAGGGCATGGCGGCCTGTTACTCGGAAAATTGCCTTTTTCTGCCGCGTTTAGCAACGAGAGAAATAACCGAAGGCCGATTCGGTGGTCCGTATTATTTTCTTGAAGGATTACCCCGTTTAGCCGGGCCTAGCCGATGATCGATACCCCTTGCATACCCGCGGTGTGTACATGTATTATAATTATGCAAAGTATAGGAATAGCAGCGAATCATTTGTTTCTGCCACTCGAATGTTTATCACCCTAGCATCGCCGCTGAATCTTCCTACGCTTCATAAATTGCACGACAAAGACGCCATTACTCCTAATACAAATCCCATCCTCGTGAAAACCTACTAACCAGTCGTCCCCGCTCGTCAATGTCTCAACTCCGACCAACCGCCAACCTTCATCAGCCACGACAAACATCCCCAATCATGCTTACCATCAGCCAGCCACAGCCGCACAGGCGCTGTGTTCCCTGGCTGGAAACTGGAACAAGAACCACGCAGGATCTTCATCATCAGCTTTATTCTTCTGGATCCACGCGACGCGCTACCTTCGAACGAATCGTTATCGGGGCAGAGGCGAGGCATGAAATCACTGATTGCGCCGGGTCTGTCGTTATCGCTGGTACAAGAACAGGGCTGTAGCCGGGACACGGGACCGGCGGAGCGGGACGAGGCGCTGCAACCCGGGAATAATAACAATGGGCCGCGGGCCACGCGGAGTCAATGCGGAGCAGCTGCGATCCGCGTAATGAAAGTATGATTGATGATCGAGTCGACGCGCGTCATTAGCTCGACACGAAGAAGCGCGACGCGGAGGATGCGCCCGTTCCCTCTCACGGGGTCCTCGCCCGTTCACTCTCCCGAGATGTTGCAGCCACGTCGCCGCGGAACGTGTTCTGAATTAGCGGCCCGGCCTAATATAATTCGAACGAGCCCCCCTCCCGTTCATCCCTTCACCCTATACTCCCTCTTTCATCGCGATGCACGTAATATTTCCGGATAAAAGAACCTGAGAAATGACAGGGCTCGCGCAACAGCGTCCGCTGCTCGCAACCGGCGATCAGCTCCCAGCGACTCGTCGTGATTGCACGCCACGAGAAATCGGACCTCCGAGGACTATTAGCTGTTCTCCTCGAGTCAACCGTTTGGTATTCTAAGCTGCGTTCAGCAATGGACTCTCTCTCCTCTAGGCAAAGTGATACGTAAACGACGACACCGTGACGAATGGGCGACTAGTTCACGAGAAGATGGTAGATTTTTACGGTACACTGCGGATAAGGAACACGCGAACGGGTTATCTAGCCTGGATTAGAGTAGAACGATTAAGATCATCGTTTTCAACCACTCGTTTACAAAGGGTAGGTAACCGATAGGAGCCTAATATCGAGCCGAGTCAAAACCGAGTCGATCTACGCGTGATTAATGGAGTCCGGAGGAAGCCACGCAAATTGCAGATACCATCGACGCAAAGACAATTATCGATCCACGTTTCGGAACGGAACGTCTCACCTGGCGACCCAAGTTGAGAACAGCAGAAGAACCTGTGGTTCACCGATCCACGGGGGACCAGGAGCATTCGAAAGACACATTTATCTCGCTTCCGTTCGAGCAAAATCTGCCCAGGGGCCTAATGCTTCGGCTATTAAGCTTTAATGGACTGCTGATCGTCGAGGAGTCGGGAGAGAGGGCTGAACGCTGCCAAGCTCGGGTCCCGGAGGAGTTGGAAAAATGGACGGGAACGAGGGCGAATACCGTGTGGTCTCGCGAATTTTTCTCCGCAGTCCGAGCATCACGGAACCCGGGTCCACGGTTTGGCAGGTCGGTCCGCGAAATTCTCGTGTAACGCCATCGATTTCAATTCGAGAGGCGAGGCTCTCTGGGAAGAGACCGGAGGAGCGATGGTACACGCGAAGGAAAAGGGGTTGCGAAGTGGCCGTGATCAGGATTGACTCGGGATGACGATCTAACCGTACACGGGTTTCCACTTTACTCCCGATACGGACGGCGACATTTCGGCTCGTTAGTTCCCTCCGTGACGCTCTTTCTCGCGCCCAAGTTACTCCGATGCTACACGCGTGCTCGAGATACAACTGACTTAAATTCGATAGCGGAACGTACTTCTAGTTCGTCGGCGATGTCTTTAAATTCCAGGGAATAAGTCGACGTACTTTCCGATTTGCAGATATAACAATCCGATAGAAACGAACCTAGAATTCCTCTACTCGTGGTCGATGACAGCGAATAGACGAGTTTCCTCGATAACTGGATATTCCCTGTTCCCTTCGCATAAACGAAAGTTTCTCGCCGCAGATGACGAACAGATTTTCCAAGTAAGTAGCTACACGACCACGAGGCTGACGATGAACGAGCATTTCCGGATACTTGCGAAACGAGCTACTCGCGGAACGAAAGCGCCCCGAAAGCCGAGCTCCGAGCTGGAGCAAACAACCCGTAACTCAGTGGGTGTTTATGAGGGAGTCGGTCGTAAAAATACGAGCTGTATCGAGCTCTCTGGCTCGTTTCGACCGTTTAACCGAGAGAACCACCCCCGTCGCAGCAGCTTTGCTCTCCTCCGAGGAAACAAAGAAACGTAACGAGAGAAAGGTCGAAAAAGACAGCGCACAGAGGGGGGGTCGAGGCGAGGGGCGAGAGGCATGTCGACTGCTCGTAAAACCCGGTCTGATCACCGCTACCAATTATCCCGCCGTTATCCGAACGTTATCCGGAACGTTATCCACCTTTTGCCCGACCAGGGCCCTCACGAAACAGCCCTCCCGCCATCATCCGAATCACTAGGCGAACCCTTGAACCCCAAGAGGAGAGGGCAACGCTGCTTCCACGATCCCCAACACCAGGCTAGGTAACCGTTGTTGTCGCCTTTTACTGCAAACGAAGTGATTCCCTCCTCGTAAACGCGACGTCTTTACAGATTACACGGCCCGGAAACCGGAGGCTCCATGTTCTTCTTCCTCCCTTCGTGTTTCCACGCTTTTTTCGCTCGCTGATACCTCGGCGAGGGTGAATTTCGAGCGTGGCGTTAAAATCCGTTGGGCGGTATCTGATATGTTGAAGCGAAACTACCGAATCTCGTCGTGTACATTTCTCTCTATAATAATAATAACGAGATAAATTTAAATAAATTTGAAAAAATATAACTCGAGTAAAAATCACCCCATAAATCAAATTAATTATAATTTACATTACATCTTTTTCTTTTTTCCGAAACGAAATTTTCTCCAAACTTCCATTTGCAATATCGAACCCGGATGTTATCTAGACGAGAAACTTTTGGTTCCAGGTAAGCGTACGTCGCGATGTGGAGCCTCGAAGAACGAACAGAAGTTTAAGAAAAGGATCGCGCGTATCGCGAGGTGTATTTTACCGGATTAAGATCAAGTTCGTTGCTCGGGGAGAAATTACAAAGTACATCGGCCGAATTCGAAGTTGGAGCGCTAACGAGACAGAAAATGGAGAGGTCGAACGAAGCGCGCGATTACGATCGACGATAATCGAGTCACGGGGATAATTGGCTTCCGCCAAAGAAACAAAACGAGCCACCGGTTAATACGGTTCAGATTGTTCCTTTATTGATAAATTATCAAGGTGGCCACGGCGCTTGGAAACGCGACAACTTCCACAGCAGCCGAATTACATGAGTCGCGACGGACAACACGTCGCGGTCAATTCTTCGTCGAATTACCCTAAGAGGGGCGGCGAATTAACTGGCGACGTGATTGCCACTTCTTCAATTCCATTCTAGCGAGCGTCTATACAACTAGGATCTTACGTCTAGGGGTAGATAAATGGGCAGTGATCGAAGAACGACTATCCCGAAAATTTTGCCAACGACCATGTGTCAACAAAGATGGCGTCTAATTTAATCCTAGAACGAAAAACTCAAAACGCGATGAACAAACTAAATTAAGCTACTAAAATTAGAATTTTCGCTAAAGTAGAAAAGTAACTGAAGATAAAATTGCGATAAAATAGAAACGAATTTTTCTAACAAATCCAACGATTCCCTAGAGTACTATAAAAATTAACGAAGTGAAACAATGATAATTTGACACGACGTATGTAATATATTGCGTATTGGTATAACGAAGAACAATTATTCGATAAAATCGCAAGCTCCGTGTTAAACGACGCGAGGACGAAAAGAAAGAAAGTGCCTAATGGAAACGATCTTAGGTTAATAAGAGACATCGAATCCGATGAGCCTTTACGGCCACGCCGGATTCCTTCGTTACAACGCATCGATCTACGTCAAGCGATAAGGACCGGGAGTGTAACCCTCGTGATAAGCCGGATAAACGTATCCGTGATGCATGCCCGGCACAGGTGACATGAAATTATACGCGTCTTCGGTGTTGTATGTGTGTGTGTAAGGGTCTGTTGACAGAATTGGGCTCGTCTTACCGGCTCGATTGCTCTGGTCGATCATGGGTTGCACGATTCTACGCCTCGCGTTGATGAACCTGTAACAAACGAAACGTGTCAATTAGAAATTAAATACTATAGTCGTTACCTTACTCGATCCTTTATTACAGAAAGGAAATATTCAAAGAAAGTATTCAATCTTACACAAGATTACCGATCTCCCGCTATAATCTTTCACGGCGACATGTAATAATAAACAGAGAAATACGACAGGAGAAATGGGGAATTATGACAGCGACGTTTGTCAAACTCGGTTATTTCGCTATCGAGTTAAGAAGGAAATTAACGGCTCGAAGTAATACCTCTTTACCTCGTTTCGAATGCCTATTGCCACCGATCTAAACGAGTTCCAGGAACATTTCGCAATTTCTCCACCCCCGTTAAATGCCAACTATACATTAACTCGAGAGGGGGGGGGGGGGGGGGGAAAAATCTACGTCTAACATCGGTCATTTAGCTGCCCGCGGATCTCCTCGCAGCAGCGTCCCTGGCAAGAAATCTATTCGGGTAATCAGAGATAACGATAGCAGTCAGGTAGCCAGACGTATTCATGACTCATTATGTAGATCAGTGGATCATGGGCAGCGGGCATTAGGCGATCGGCGTGATAAGGTCGAAAGCTCGGTCAGAACGCGCGTACGTACGTCGATGTATCGTTCATCTCAATTTGGCCGGCCGGGGCGGGCACCGTCGATATTTCATCGGCGTAAGGTCGGTAATTGTCGGACGTAATTTCCGGCCGAATCGTGTATGTTAATTTGACGAAGTGGTCGAGCGAAATGCACGACCGAAAGAGGACTACAGGTGCGCGCCACAATGGCCGGTTTCGAACTGTGTCCCTCGTTACATCCACCGTCTTTTCGCCCTCGTCTTCGTCCATCGCCATTTTCCTTTTCTCTCCTTCGTATAAAGAAACGTCGCGCGTAAAGCATGGACAAGTTACGAAATTCTCTCGCGTCCACGAAGCTCGAACTCTGTTCCTTATTTCGCTAGCGCAACTTTTGCCGATAATTATACGCTTGGCGTATCGCGGTGCTCGATGAAAGAAAACCTCTTCCGCTAGCATCGATATCCCGAATACATTTTTCAAGGGGCAGCCCGAGGGAATAGACTGTAACCCCGCCGCAGCGCGACCTATTATCTCGCTAACAACGAAGAAAAAGGGGGCGGTGTGTTGTCGGCGGAAGACGGAGCAAACGGGGGTGGCAAGAAGAGAGCCGGCATCCTCGATACGTCATTAGCCACGCTGAAGGAGCTTCCGTGTGAGCGCTTTCCAAACAATAGATCTGCGGTCTATTTCGAGTTTGGGAGAGGTCCAACCGTGGGGGTTGGCGGTGGCTGGCCACGAAGAGGGAAACGAAGAGGGAAAGGAAGGGGAGGAGGCGCGACGGAGGAAGGAAGACAGGCGAAAGGGCGTACGTCAGCCGACGTCAGCGTCGCGGCGCCCTAATGGGCGCAGACGCCGGAAGTGATTGGGTTTCTGCTCGACTGACTCGAGAGCACACCCCCTCCTCATCGTGGAAAACCATGGTTCCGATGGGCGAGGAGAGGGATGGGCGAGAGAGGAACGCGGTGGCAGCTGCAGCCCCTCTTGTTTCGCGTCGCATCTTTCTTGTTCGGTCTCACGCCTGGCCGACTCCCGGCGGAGTCTTATGAATAATAATTATTAAACTCTAGTCCGACGCGCTCAGCCAGTTGCGAGTAGCCGGTCCGACCGGCTCCAACTCGCGCGGAAGTCGAGGACGCCGAGCGTCCCGAGACTTCCAGTTCAATTAGTACAAGCTGCAGAGCTGCATGGACCTGCGGATGTCGATGGTAACGCGCGAAAAGGCGCGTGGTAATCGACTGTGGAATAATATAGGAAATTTTAGCGAATATACCGCGTGTAATTTAACACGACGTACAGAGTTTCGCGTGGTTTGCCACGAAGAACTGGTGGGTAAACGGCGAAGAAAAATCACGGACTCGACACCCTCTTGAACAAACGACAAGTGGACACGAAACACGGATCGTGGATAGAGAACGTGCTACGGTACTAGAAATGGAAGACCGGCGGGTGTGTAAACGCGCGGGAGGATCGCAACACCGGCTCCCCTCAAAGTCAAGGCCTCGGCTATCGTTGGATGAAAGAGTATCCCTGCTTGTATAAACCGAGGGCCCCTTTCCAGCCCCCAAATACTCCTAAACGCCTCTGGTTCCCCTTTGGCGGCGTAGGCAGCGTGTCACAGCCAGCTGACTACCGCCGCCAACCCCCGCGCCGCCCTTCTGGCAACCACCCCCGTGGCTGAAATATCGCCCGAACAATGGCGCACAACCCCTAGCCCGGGAAGAAGAGAGACAGAGAGAGAAAGAGCGGAGAGCGGAAGGGGACGGAAGCAGTGGCAACTGCCCAACCTTTTCTCTCTCTTTCCTTCGCTTCTCGATGGGGGAGGGGTTGGAAACCGGCAAAAATATCTTCGCCACCGGAAAACTTAAGCCCGCCGCGCAGAGAACGGACAGGATGAAATTTTACAGTCGAGGTAGCGGCTGGCAAACGGTTCTGTCATCCCTCGCCCCTCCGACAGTCTCGTCACGGGGGTGGTTTCGCGAATCGCGCGTTAACTCTTGGTCGGTCAGCGTGGCTCCCGTTGTTTTCCACCGGCAGACCCCCGACTCCCGCCGAACGTTCCGATCCTCCACGTTCAACCAGAAGCTCCCGATCTTTATCGAATTTGCATTTACTGCCAGGCAAACGTCCGCGAAAACCCCTCGCCGGCGACCCCTCCTCGCGGGAAGAAGCGAAACGTCCATTTTACGACGCACGTTAAAGAGTCGCGGTCGAGCAGAGCGAACCGTTCGCAAACTCCGCGCGGTATGAATGAAGCGCACACTTGTAGACGCAGCCGAGATGATCGCGGCGCTGACGGTCGGCCAACGGGAAATTAGTTTTTACGGTTATTATCGCGATCGAGGAGGCGCGAAAAAAGCGGAGCGCGATTAAAATGCTCGCCAGTATTTTCGCGGGAAAGCACCGTGACCGGAGATGCGCTTTTTACGGCTTCGTTATCGCGCGCGATCGTAATGGCCCGGTAAAATTATCGGTTTACGACGCGCGCGGATCCAGCGTTCGGCTCGCGACGAGAAAGGGAGAGGCATATTGCGTCGCGCCAACCCCCGTGGGATGACAAAACACTTTTCACCGCGCCCTCGTCGCCCGCTTTCAGGATTTTAATGCAGTTTTGATTATGAAGCCGGAGGGGGGCGTCTCGGTTTCGCGGTGTGAAACAAACCCAGTCACCCGGGGGGATGCAAAAGCGCCGCTCTCGCCGCCTCGTCATCTCTTCGCAGCCGAATTTGAATTTTTCATCCGACACCGTGCACTCGGTGTTTCCGTTCCTCCGCGTCGAAGACTGTTTAATGAATTCCGTTTAACGAACCCTCCGCGACCGGACCGGGTCTAGGGGATGATTTCAGATCCCTGGGAAACGCGGGAGACGTTGAATTAAATTTTTACCTAAGCTCGTTCGTATTCCACGAGCGTAATTCGGATCGAGAAGTTCTGCGAGAAAATTATTATTCTATTTTTATACGTAGATTCGCCGATTCCGCGTACTTTTCATCGGTACAGTGATCTTCCAAGAGAAACAATATTTCTGTTAAGGGGTTATAATGCAAAGAAATACTATCCAGTGGAAACAGTGGAGAAACTGTTAGAACTGCCCTGTCTGTTTCGAGCCACGCAGATCAAGGACGTCTCCAAGAAATGGGAAACAAAAGACAAAACGCAGAGGAAGGAATCGTCGCCATATCGCTATGATGCAGAATTTATTTTAGTACTTAATTTCTTTACTACAACAATTTCAACCGAATAACTTTTGCAATACCTGACACGAATATTGACAACCGAGAGACCTCTGGAGCTAATTGACAAATCGCTGATGCTCGATGGTCAGGCTTAACCTCGTCGTTACTTTTTTACGGTCGAAGAGGGGGCGAAGGAACATATGACACGGTTCCGCGAGGGAAAAAGGCATAAAAGCCAGAGTTACGAGAGGGTGTCTGCCGCATGACCTTCCGGCGCCGTGACGAAATTTAGTGCGCTCCATGCGCATACATGAATAATGCTCGAATTTGCTTATACGCCGCGTGGATTCGATTCGTACGGTTTCGTGGACATCTCCCGTCGCGTGAGCATCGAGCGAATCGTCGGCCATTTGCGCGGCGACTTTCGGCCAGAAACGGCCCCGTCATCAAAGCGAAACGCGGAAACGAGGCAACTTCCACTTTGGACATCGTAGAAATCGTAGGAACATCGGGGAAACAGAGAATCGGAACACGGAACACCTTCCCATACCGTGGAATATAGAACACTGAATTTCTAATCGCTTTCGCCGCGCTGGAGCAAAAATTCGGATAAAAAATCGGAAAGATTTCGTACGACCAGATTTTCTATTCGATTTCTCTCGAATGCAAAGTAATCTCCGCTGATGATATCGGCGTTAAAAATTCGCAGGGCTTCATCTCGTCAAACGTAGCGAACTATCGAGAGTTTGCGAACGGCGAGGCGGGCGAATTCGTTTCGCGGTGTGGTAGAACAGCGGTGGTAACGATGATTACTGTCGCGCTGGCAACATTTACTCTCCGGCGGCGCTCGCAATTATCGGAGAGCTTCCATTAGTTAACTGCAGTCGATACGCGCGGTGCACCGGGGTCCTCGCATCAAAACATCATTACTGCACGGACACGGGAACGCGCGATAGTCAGCCAGCCAGCCAGCGAGCTGGTATTGGTAATCAATTTCGCTGCTGTACAGAGAACCGCGGACTAATGCGACGCGAACGGCGAGCTTTCGCATTAGCGAGGATCGAACAGCCGTCCCCGTGATCATTGCCCATTAGAGAATGAATCGAATCGGCTATCGAAAGCCCGCCGTTGATCCGCCGAAGAATCGTTCCTTCGACTGCCTCGCCGGATAAAACACCCGATATTTGTTTTTCGCAGCTCGTCTCCTTTCGCACGGCTCGCGAATGGCATTCGCCGTGCTGCTAAAGTATCCGAG